AAAAAAAAAAAAAAAAAAGGAACAAGGAGAAAAACCATGCTGGCTTCCAAGAAATTACACGGAAAATAATTATTTCGCCAAGGTGAAGATTAATCTCTCAAAAAACAAAGCACGACATGATCCATTCTTCTTGGAAAAAAATGGAAAAAGATGGTAAGAGACACTTTTGTGAAAACTCCAATTATAGAACCACTTCCCCTGCCATGTCAGGAACGGGTTGGCCCCTCAACTCTGTTCCTTCTCCAGCCAGCAGCCTCCTTCATTAAGAGTTCAAACTTGTGTGAACATTATCAGTTCTGGCCCTGAGCTGGGGTATAAAAGAGCCTGAAGCCCAGGAGAGGCCAGCTCAGAACCCACAGAAGTTCTGTTAGAGCTTCTCCAGTTCATCCTTCCTGCTACTCAGGGACCCTGGGTTCTGAGCTACATCCCTTTTGGCCTGGCTGTGGGCCCAAGAATGCTAACACCCACTGCCATCTCCTGTCCTTGACCTGCTAGTGTTGACGTCCTTAAATCCCAAACCTAGTGACAACAGCTCTGCTCATAGAAACGGTTGAACCGTCCCGTCCCTACCTTGGGTACCTCTAACACTTCCTATCACCTCTCTGGCCTGGCTGGAACTCTGGACAGGTGACTTGACTCACCCCTTAGGTCTCTCTGGCTGTTGTCACATATTCTTTTATGTAAAACCTCCCCTTTCACGGCCTCCTCTACTAGCAGACTCATCCTGGCTTGTACTGCTCCTGTTCTGCCCTGATCCTTCCCCACATGTGCCATCTCAAGCATCTCACCAGGACAGTTTATTTCTGGAAATGCTATTTGATGAGAGAATGGCCTTTAAAAACCCATGACGCAGGGCGCCTGGGTAGCGTAGTCAGTTAAGTGTTAGAGTCTTGGTTTTGGCTCAGGTTGTGATCTGAGGGTTGTGGGATCAAGCTCTGCATGGGGCTCTGCACTCAGCGCAGAGTCTGCGTAAGACTCTCTCTCTTTCTCTCCCTGCCCCTCCCACTTGTGTTCTAAGATAAAAAAAAAATCTTGGGCGCCTGGGTGGCTCAGTTGGTTAAGCGACTGCCTTCGGCTCAGGTCATGATCCTGGAGTCCTGGGATCGAGTCCCATGTCGGGCTCCCTGCTCAGCAGGGAGTCTGCCTCTCCCTCTGACCCTCTTCCCTCTTGTGCTCTCTATTTCTCATTCTCTCTCTCTCAAATAAATAAAACTTTTAAAAAAAAAAAAACCCACCAAAAAACACCCAAACCCATGACCCTGTAAGCTTTCATATTTTTTTTTTTTAAAGATTTTATTTATTCATTAGACAGAGAGAGAGCACAAGCAGGGGGAGCAGCAGGGAGGGGAGAAGGAGAAGCAGGCTCCCCGTGGAGCAAGGAGCCTGATGCAGGGCTTGATCCCAGGACCCTGGGATCATGACCTGAGCTGAAGGCAGATGCTTAACCAACTGAGCCACCCAGGCACCCCAAGTTTCCTCATTTTACCTTCTGCTATCCCCACCAGCCAAATTTTGCTTTCTGTAGTTCCATGAACTGTGTTTTTTTCAAACCTCTCCCTCCCTTCCCCCCATTTGCTGATCCCCCCATCCCCTGTGCTGGGTCTGAGGCTCCCCGCTCCAGTGGCCTCCCCAATACCAGTGGTACTCTAAAACTTGGCTGCTCTGCAGAAACACTTAAGACATGTTTGAAAACAAGATTGTTAGACCCTACTTTAGGATCAGTCTCTGGGGATGAGGTCCTGGAATCTTTAATCCTATGTGAAACTGTCAGTTGTCCAGATTTGGGACCCAAGGACCTAGATCTCTTCAACTCGAGTCCTGAAAGCCTAGGCACCTGAATTCAGCCAAGGCTCAGCCAAGCATCCCCAGCTAAGCGCGTGCAAGGCTTTCCTTTGAACAAAGAAAGCCAATTTCTATTGCTGAGGACTCTTAAGACACTATATTTGCTGAGTCTCCAGGGATTTAAATCCTGAACTTCTAAAATCTATTTTTGCTAATGCTGGGAGAACTGCTTTTTTTGGGTAGTAAGTCTGTGAAAATCCTTATTAAACCTCACAAGACGGCTCCTAATGCTGCCGAGTTTCATAAGCCTAATTCTCGTTCCCGACTTACTGAAACCCAACTCTGTGGTGTCCTCAGAACTCTCAGTCTGCCAAACTAATCAGAGTACTGCAGACTGTAACCAATAAAAGAGAACAGAAGAGCTCTGAACCTGGGGCGCCTGGGTGGCTCAGTTGGTTAAGCGTCTGACTTGATTTCAGCTCAGGCTCCGCACTCAGTGTGGAGCCTGTTTAAGGTTCTCTCTTTGACCACCACTTACTGTATGAACATGGGCACATCACTTAACATGTCAGGGGTTCAGATTCCTCATCTATAAAGGAAGGTGGGACAATGACTTCAGTGACAGTCACCTGAGTTGTCATGAAGGTTGAATGAGGTAATAACGCCACATACCTAGCAGTGTCTGGTACAGTCATCACCTGACCAATGTTAGTCCCCTCCCCTTCTCTGAAATGAAAAGTGCCTGTATCAGAGACATTCCTCAGCACTATTAAAGACAGTACAGGAAATAAAGAAGTCCCACTTGCCAGAGAGATTTGCCACGGGCCACTGCAAACCGCAGAGAAGTGGAGATCGGACAACCACCTGCGTTTCCAGTTAAGGCGCACTTTCTGCAATACGGTTTAGTGGAAAGGGTGAAATGTGGTCTGAAAGGGACTGCGTTCTACCTGCTGCTCCGCCATCTACTGGCAACATGACCTTGAACCAATCACTTATCCTCTCTGCCTACTTCATCACCTGCCAAACAGAGCAAAATCGCTGCCCACCTCTCAGCGTGGCGAGGCTGAAATAAGAAAACGGATGGAAGCACTCTGAAAACAAAGCAACACAGATGTTAATAGTAATTCTATGTCAACATGGAGAAGGGGCTTGGGGACCCAACTTTGAACTTGAGACAGACTACAACTCTGTAAAGAGGGCCTAGAGGTTAGGTCTGTTGGTAGGAAAATCGGTAACCACTAAAGCAATCGAAGATGTAGCTTTAGCTAGCAACACTCTTCACTTACTACACTTCTGTTTTGAAATCTTTAGAAAGAAATAATTACCATACCAAAAAAAAAAATGCTTTTCAGACCAGAAGACCTGGGGTTTAGTGAATACGTAAAAATTTATAAAATATACCAGAGAGAGAAAATATGTCCCTTTTAAGAAGAGATGTTACAACTTTTCCAGGTGCAAAGCTATTCGGAGTTGCTACAGGTCTCCTGTCGAAGCTAAAAGCACTAGTAAATAATACACACACATGAAAACTGAATGCTACATTAAACCAACTGTGCTTCTAGAAACCTGAAAAAAAGAGAAAAATCTAAAGCTTCCTGGTGGTGAAAATGAAGAAACTTTATGTACTGTAACTAGAGGTAGTCCAATAACTGAAGGTCAGGTCGTGCAGAAAAAAGGGAGGATTCCCTGAAATGCCAGGAACTTCCCAGCTCTGTGGGGCCACTTAAACCATTCCAGGCACTGGCAAGGAGCCTCCAGAGGGCTTCTGAGGAGACAGCCTCACAGTCTGTCTGTCTCTTTCCACAATCTCTTACTGGATCTCTCAAGACAGCTTGAACACCTGCCCAACATCTACTGGCCATGCCTCCTCCTGCTGCGAAAACGCAAGTGACCAATGTCACCGGCTGACCTGGCCTAGTCCAACCTTCAACTCTGCCTGGAGGGGAAAAGAGAATGATAAACACCACTGGTACTAATTCTGGAGCAAGAATTAATGTTTTCAGAACAATTTTAAGTCTGGTATACTGGAATGCCTAGGTAAAAATAAGTTGAATGAGCAAAAACAGGAGTAATCTGAACCTCATTAATTCAAAAGGCACAGAGCTATATGGATGGGCTGGATGGCCCATGAAAATGAGCATGTTTACCTTTTGAGAGTCTCTCCCCCTGGGGACTGGTGAGCTGAGCCTTTTGGGTCATTGCATTCCAATACTGGGGCTTCCCTGGCAATACTCCTAGTCCAAGATAACCAGGATAGAGCTCTGGAAACCACTCCAGCCCCAGAGAGCTTGGAAGGGTCTGCCTGTCAGCAATGCCAGTCTGACTGAAGGGGCTGTAAGAGGCGCGAGGCAGGATTGAATGAAAGGTCTGTTGGCACCCAGGGTGTGACACTTGGGGCCCACAGCCAGATTTGTGTTGCAGCGAGGCTCCTTCACTCTCTGTTAACACCTTCACAACAGGGACTCGGTTAGGGCTGCAGGTTTCTGCTTTCTCTTCTGGAAAAAATCTGACAGCCAGAGAGGCAAGGCTTTCATTATACGACTGTGACACAGGAAACGGCCCACTGCAGGCTGTCTCTCTTGGAGTGAACAAACTTAAACTGGGACCTTCATCTGGACCTTTCTTCTCTGTGGCTGAATCATTACTCCTGATGTTCTTTGCGTCACCGTTCACAGAAGCCCATTCTGGGATTGCTTTTACAGATATGCTTTTCTCTGCATTTCCTCTGCTCCCGTGTGCCTCTGTTCCAAGGTTCAGTCCTTTTCCTTGGTTCTCCCTGACTGGGATGTCGACTGCGCTAACTTTAAAATTTAACAATTGTGATTCCATGTTTTCTTGAGTCTCAGAGTCTCTAACATGAGAAGAGATTTCTGAGAGGTGGTCCCTGGCCTCAGACTGTCTCTCATTGCTTGACAATGATGTTTGTACTCTTTCAACCCCATAATTGAGATTCATGGGAGAACTGTGATAATCACCAATAGGCTTATCTGGTAAATTTACTGGAAGCTTCTGTCTTGGGTGATCAATTTCGTCCAATCTTAAATCAGTAGAAGTGGTCTGAACATCACTGGGTAAAGCTGAAGAGTATTTTCTATCTTGATTTGATGAAAAAGGTTCTACTGGGCCAAGAGGTAAAGATGTTTCAGTTTCTGAAAGGTTACTTCTACTTTCCCCTGATGGAGGCAAATATCTGACAAGTTCTCTTTCAGGAGTGGTGTCCTCTGATGCATAACACTGAGCCTTCGTTTCTCCCTGGAAAGTAATCTTTGGTTCAGTATTTTTCAACTTTTTGATGGAGCACTGAACTTGATTCTGGATGTCTTTATCTGCCTTTGTACTACTTGCTCTTTCCAAACCAACAGCCAATAGTGGAAAAGACTTTGTTGCCTGTTCTGGTTTGTCTTTTACCAAGTTGGTATCTCTCTTCTTACTCTCCGTCTCCAACTCTCTCTCTTTAGTGTTATTTAAGTCTGTGATTGGCCCTTTCATTTTTTTAGTGTGTGGGCGTGTAGCGAGCTTGGACTGACAAGCTTTCTGATCAGCCGGTACAGTTGATCCTTTCATCTTACAGTATGGTAAGTGGGATTTTAATCGTTTAAATGGCTTTTTACAGTAAGGACACACTTCCATCCTGGATGAGTATCACTCTATTCCTGAAAAAGGTAAATGGGACATTATGAGGGGCACATAGTTGGTAGAGTAATTACTAACATCTCATTAACGTGTGTACCTTTCATTTGGAAGAACACAGATTGAAGGAAGTTTTAAGAAATGTGTTTTGACTTATTCTTTTTCTTACAGAGGTAGAAAATAGAAGACACGGTTTTAAGATAAATATCCCTGGCTTCACTTCTGTTTACGTTTCTTAAAGTCTTCCAAGAATCAATTGTTAGTAAAAAAAAAAAAACAACCAAAGGGGTTTTCAACATCCCTAACTAGTAGATGAGGAAAGCCAAAACACTAATCTAACAAGGTAATGGTTAAATTAATGGAAGAAAAAGTTGTACAAAATACCAGTAAGGGGGCACCTGGGTGGCTTAGTCGTTAAGCATCTGCCTTCAGCTCAGGTAATGATCCCAGGGTCCTGGGATTGAGCCCTGAGTGGGGCTCCCTGCTCAGCGGGGAGTCTGCTTCTCCCTCTGGCTCTCCCCCTCCCCCCCCCTCATGCTCTCTCTCTTCAAATAGATAAAACTTCAATATACCAGTCAGATTAAAACGTTTGCTGTTTAAGGTTACAGCAAGTCAACTGGTTATTACAAGAGTATAAAGAAATTGTTAAAACCCCTTAAACACATCATTTAAGGAAAGAATAGTAAAGAGTAAAAACTCAGGCCAGAATCTGAAGGCTGTTGCTTAGAGTCATGGTTTTCAAAGCTGTATATGGAAGATCCACTTCGGTGCAAGACCTTCCATCATTTCAGCATGAGAAATGAAGCTCTAACACCATATTAATAATATGTATATACACACATACATGTATGTGTCAAAGTGTTTATGATGTACAAACGACACATACATGGAGGGCACAGAGTCCCCAATTTTTGACTTAAGGAGTAAGTACAATGGACTATCAGCAAGTTCATTATTTGAAATCTTTGTGATACTCATACCATGTAAAAACATGAAAAAATAATACCATGTATCATTTGTACCTCTTTGAGCACTGAGCCTGGCATATGAGAGTTGAATGAATTCCTTTTCTAGACATAAATATGCAAATGCTATCATCACAGATGACTAACTGTGATTGTCTTCTGACTACTGAATAGGTCAAAAAATGAGACTAAAACCATTTACAAAACAAATACATAGAATCCTGGCCAATCCATTTAGGATCCTATATGAGCTCAGGCAAAACGAAGCTGTTTCCCGCCAAAGAACTTTAATTATTCTTACTTTAGAGGTACCCCTTGACAATATAATCAAAGTTATGGGCCGCTGACTTACAAAAATACCCACAACTGAAGCCAGTCCACGGGCCTTGGACTAATAACTTTAGAAGGGGCTAGGGACCTCTTAGACATGTCTGCCTCTACATTACTCCACCACACTTAATCCTACTGGAAAGATCCTGTACGCTCACTTGGTAACGTCTTACCGTGGGTGACTTGACTACTTTCTTACTGGAGCTTCTCCAGAAGAATGCTAATTTTGTGCTTGTTTCTCTTGGATCTCCATGCCTCACGATCGCAGTTCCCGAGTCTGGCAGAACAAACTCGATTTTAACTGTCAGCCTGCGCGAGACACAATCAGAAAAGTAACTCGACAGCACACCCAGTGAATGGATGTGGCGCGGCACTGAACCAAGTACAAGCTAACTGGGTTATCCGCGGGACAAGTCCCCCTCGGTGCTCCGGCAAGCAAACAGTTAAGACCGCGCCCGCCTTCCGGGCGGAGAGCCCGTGGGACTCCTGCCAAACGCCTCCCCTCCCCCCACCCCGCCGCGGACTCCCCAACCCCTACCCCCCACCGCCGCGGTACCTGGCCCGCCCTCCTCCCGGCTCCCTCACTTTTTCCGGAAGCGGAGCCGCTGCTTCCCGCTGAGTGGGCGGGGACCGCCGGGCTGCTTGAGGCACCGGGCTCTCCTTCCCTGCAGCCCCAGCCGGAAGCGCCGTAACCGCACGGACGCCGAAGGGGGCTCGTCCTGCCGCCCCGGGAAGCAACCCCCCCCCCGGCTGGCCCGCCATCCGATCGACTCCTTCTCATCTCGGGAAGCACTCCCCCATCCCCGACCCAGGGCGTGGGCCGCAGGACACAGCACGACCGGCCGCGACTAGCCCAGAGCAGCATCCTCACCTCGCCAGGCGCGGAAGTTCCGGAAGCCCCCGCGACAAGCCCCCCAGCGCAGCCCTCGAGCCGTTTCCCAACTCCCCGGCAGGCACCCGCTGCAGGCCGTCTGCGCCACTGCCTGATGCTTCTCAGCTGTGTTTTAAAAAAAAATGTTACCGCACAGGGGCCTAACTCAAATACTTGTATCGTATTATGATGACGTAATTTAAGTTAATTTAAACCTGGCTTGACTTTTATGCCGTCCCCGCTCGGCTGCGAACAGGCGAAAGCTCAGGCCGCCTCTCGTGAGGTCCTCTCTCCCAGAAGCTCTCAGTCACTCCTCCCCACTCCGAGCCCACCTCTTCCCGTGGGCGGGGTTACCGGTCGGCGCGGCCGGGGTCGCGCCACTGCGCAGCCGCGAGAGGGCGGTACCACGGCGGCTGCGACATGGGGGGGCGCGGAGCAGACGCCGGAAGTAGCGGTGGTACAGGTCCCACCGAGGGGTACTCACCGCCGGCGGCGTCCACCCGCACCGCGGCTAGAGCCAAGGCCCGAGGGGGTGGGCGTGGCGGCCGCCGGAACGCAACACCCTCTGTTCCCTCTTCTCGCGGAGCGGCGCCGCGTCGCTCCCCTCCACCGGCTGCCATGAGCGAGCGCCTCCGCCCCAGGTGAGACCACAGGGACCCCCTTCTTTCCTAGCCCCTCGCCGGGGGCTGGAGCCGAAGGGGCGCGCAAAGCGGGGGTCCGAGCAAGCGTGAGCCCTGAGGGTCTCCATCTGGGTGCTTTGCGGCTCGGGGGAGGAGGGAGAGGGATGCGCAAGTACCTGGTCCCTGAGGTGCTGGAGGAGTGACTCGCCGGGGTCCACGGCTCCCCCACCGAACCCCGTCTTTTTTCCCCCTTCCTCGTCTTTTCCTACTTGGAATGCAGACTGAACGGTCCCAGAAGAGAGACAGTGGCCCTAAAGCTTCCCTGTCCTAAATTTAGGAGGGTGGGGGGATGGGAGGAATGTCTGATCTTTGAGAGGGAGCCCCTAGGACGTCTTTGAGGGGCAGGGGCGGGGAGCTGCCGTCTCCCCAAGGTCAGAAAGAAGGATTGGATTTAACTCTGTAGCAGGGAAGGATGGGGATAGATGGAAGAATTTGTGCCCTCGGACGGTTGTGAACATGGAAGGGCAGATGAGCAAAGTGGCTTGTAGCATTAACAGGCAGGATTCTAAACTGTTTGGATGCGGAGCCGTTTGACTCCGAAGGCGGGAGGTAGGGCTGTATCGCGATGCTCTACTTTTCCACTGAGCCTGGCCTCAGGACCCGGGTCTTCACCTAGGGGTGCTGTGCTTGCTTGACGAGTGCAGAATAGAGTCCGGATCAAGCTGCAGTTTCTTTCTTTCTTTCTTTTCTCCTCATTTCCTCCTGTAAGAAGGTGGGGAGGAGAGGGTTGGGATTGGGTACCCCAAATGAAGAGGAGCAACTTTACTTCAAATTAGAAAAACCCCTCATCGTGGAATTTGAAGTGAAAAACCTGTAGATCACCAAGTCCAACACTGTCATTTTTCTGATGAAGAAACAGAGAGCTCAGCCGGTTTACTCGTCTTTCCAGGTTCACTGCTCTTTCATTATTTCCCGATAGTCTCACTAAAGCTCAAGTGAATAAAATAGGTTTGCCTTGGTAGATTATGCTGGATTTTTTCTTGTTCCATATTTTCATTGGCTCTGAATGTGATTGACAGTCTTCCCACAAAGATCTTGCTCTGGAGGATGGTCAATTCAGGGATTAAGATTCTGGAAAGCATCCTGAAGTTATTTGGTCAGATAGTGAAAATCTGGGGTCACCCATACTTTTGCATTGGATTATTGATTTGGGTATATAGTGAGTGGGGGCATAAATCCTGCTTGTACAGAAAATAAGAATGGACTAGATTTGAGATTAGGCGCCCAGTTACCGACTTGCTATTGGAATTAGGAACAAGATCCTTAGGTGTAGTAAGCCAGATCCAACTGCTATTGTTTTCCTTCCCAAACCCAGTTTATACTTCTAATAGTCTCTTGTGATGTCTCATATTTGCAAAAGTCTAAATATTTCCTGCAGAAAGATTTCTTTTATCCATCACTGGATAAGCAAATGTGAATGTGCTTATACTGGTAGCCGATGCCTTTTATCCAGTACGCAAATAACCTCAACATGTTTATACTGGTAACTTCATTGCTATAAAGGAAACGCATGTGATTTGGACAGGGGCTTCTTACCTACTTTTCACCCCATGTTCTGTGGAATATGATGGACCAGCTCTTCCAGCTCCCGCTGTCATCGTATCTCCAGGTCAGCTCAGTTTTCTGGATCTGTTTCCTCAATTTTAAGATGAGGGGATGGTCTTGGGGCGCCTGGGTGGCTCAGTCGTTAAGCGTCTGTCTTGGGCTCAGGTCATGATCCCGGGGTCCTGGGATTGAGCCCCATATCAGGCTCCCTGCTCTGTGGGAAGCCTGCTTCTCCCTCTCCCACTCTCCCCGCTTGTGTTCCCTCTCTCGCTGTGTCGCTCTCTGTCAAATAAATAAATGAAATCTTAAAAAAAAAAGATAAGGGGTTGGTCTGAGATGGTGATTTTTCAGACTGTTTTAAAATATACTGAGGTGGCCATAGAGGGGTAGATGTATGCCAAGGAAACCCCTACTTTAACCAAAACAAGTCCTTTATTTCATATATATATTGAATGATTTTTTTTCCTGATAGAAAAAAAGGGCTCTGTTACTATAAGGAAAAAAACGTTTGAAAAACACTAGTCTCCATACTCTTAAGATTTCTTCTGTGCTCAGTCTCTAGATGACAGGAAGATTGGAAAGAAATGAAAGGATGAGCAGTGATGTCATCAACCATCCTTAAAAGTAACAGATGCTAAACAACAATTTGTAACTAGATGCCTGGGGAGAACATAATCAATTATATGGTGGCCGCTAAAATTATAACCTGGTCTATGGCATTAATGGGGAAGGCTATAATCTGACTTTGTGGATACGGTTGAACATGAAGCTATAATCTTGGCAATTATTAACAATACTGTTGAAAGAAGACTATTTCAAGGATAGAATCTACAAAGAGCCTAGAAAAAGGAGAAGAACAGGAGGGCTCATTCTTACTCAGTACCATCCAAAGGAGAGGGCCCCCTACAGGAGCTGATTGGGGTACCTTGAGAAAGCAGCTGATTATGAGGCAGGGATATTTCATGTGACTTTCCCAGAGTTTACTTGAATTCTGCAAAACCAGCTCATCCTCTGTTCTCACAACCTTTTTGCCCAACAACCTCCTTGATGTTCATTTTGTCACTGCAGAGATAGGCCATGGGTTATAAACGAGGATGTTGGAAAGTTTGGGTCAGGTTCATAAGTGGTTAGAGTGGTTCAGCAGCCCAGAGCACAGTCAGCTGCTGGCATATTGATAAGAGAAGAGTTTGGGGACCAGCATTTGGGGAGTTTCCCTGGGGTGGCAACTGGTCTTCTGTTGGACCTTGCTCTGTAACTGCAGCTCTTTTCCAAAAAAATTCTCTGATCATATCGTGGTGAAAATAATAATTATTTGGTTCAAGTCTGCGGTAATAGCACATCCATTTAAATGAGTATTAAACCTGCTTTTCACCTAGTTTTTAACCTCTACATACTTCACAGTAATGTGCGGTTAAGATCTAATGTCCTGAGAGAAGGGTTAGGGAGCAGAAATGATGATCTTAGAAGCAACTGAGTCTTAGAATGAGGTCAGTGGTATAGCCCTTTGCAGGTTGGTTAATGCTTGATCAGAACCACACACTCACAATTTATCATTCCAAGCCTAAACTGGATCTGTACTCCCAGTGTACAGGAGTATTGCAGAATACAAGGAATTGAGCTCAGGGTGATAACTTAAATTTTCTCCAGTATCAAGACCTCAACTCAAAACCTTCGGATTATAGGCCTGCCCCACTATGCCACACTCCTCGCATAGAAAATATACAACTATAGAAGATACCGGGTGCTCAAATTCAGTACTTTCCCCAAAGCTGTTTTTCCTCTAGCTTTAGAAATCTGAATCTTTAAGGGTTTTCATTATAATAGATTATGCTGCTTTGTATAAATTGGCCTCTTGCCAGTGTGGTCCAGTGGCATTTTCTGTAGCAATGGGAATGTCCTCTGTGCTATCCAGTACAGTTGCCACTAGCTACCTGTGACCTTTGAACACTGAAAATGTAGCTGGTGTGACTAAGGAACTGGATATTAAATGTAAATAACTGCATGTGGCTAGTGGCTACCATATTGGATAGCACAGTTCCAGGCAGTTTGCCTTCAAATGATACCTCCTCCAGTTTGTTTCTATTTTCTGTCTTCTAAACGGGGGCTTAGAAGCCCTTCTAGGAGCACTTAATTCTTAATATGTAGTTTTTCCTTAAACCTGAAAATTTTGAGCAGCTTGTGCTGCAAACTCAAACTAACAATCTGGTGACGTAACATAGAATACTAGGTGGTGTAGAGAGAATAATGTAATTAATGTGTCTCAGAGCAGCCTTTCCAGTGATGGTCCGGAAGGGTGATCTAATGCTTTAGAGGGCATTGAGCTTTTGTTGCATGTGATAATTCGGGGGAAATCAGGGATGAAAGAAAACTGCAGATTAGAGACCACATGAACCTCTGATGATATCCCTGTATAGCACCATTTTCATTAGGATTTTAGGGGTACATGGGCAGAGGCAGCCACTCCTGTCTTACATGTTGTCCTATGGAAGGGAATAAGATGAGGTAACCTGAAATTGTGATTTCAGGAAATGCAGAGGGAAGATAACCTTAATTAGGTGGAATTTGGAAGCTTAGTCATTAGCATCACCCTGCACTTACTTATTCCCAGTAGGCATTTAAAGTTGCCAAGCTTCTTTTTAGAAATCAGTTGTACTAATTTAAGCTCGCCCCTACTGCTGCTATTTTATATGTTCGCTCTTTGTGCCCAGTGATGGTGTACTTCTAACTTTTTACCCATTGGGATAGCATATGATGAATTCTGTTTTCTCAGGCAAGAGGGCAAATTTGTTGTCATGATTTACAATTTTAAGTGTCTAAAAGATCAATTGTTGGATTTTTTTTTCTCCTTGTGATTTAATTTCAGGAAAAGGAGAAGGAATGGCAATGAAGAAGACCATCATCTTCCCCCGCAGACCAAAAGGAGTAGTAGAAACCCTGTCTTTCATGATTCCTGGGACACAGAGGTAGGAAGTGTGTTCAGAGTCTCTGCTGTTTTCATTGACTTGAGCTAAATAACCCAGTTTCTCCATGTAATTAAAATTATTCTTCGAATAAACAAAAGTGATCTTACTTGATTGCAGTGGTTTCACCTTCTTTTGAGTTATGGCCCCTTTGAGGAAGCTATGCACCTTCTCCCCAGCAAAGTGGTGTATGTCTGCACATATTAATACGTACACACAGCCCAGAATTAGTTAGAAGTTTCATGGACCTTTGAAAACTCATCTTTGAGCTGTCTAGTTGAATTTCAGAAACCAACTGTTTTCTAATAGTTTATGAGCCATTAATTATCCTTAAGCCAAGTGTATTTGGTTGCTTTCATTCACATGTCTTTTTTTTTTTTTTGTAAATTTTTTTTTTATTTATTTATTCATGAGAGTCAGAGAGAGAGAGAGAGAGGCAGAGGCAGAGGGAGAAGCAGGCTCCCCGCCTAGCAGGGAGCCCGATGTGGGACTCGATCCCAGGACCCTGGGATCATGACCCGAGCCGAAGGCAGACGCTTAACCATCTGAGCCACCCAGGCACCCCATTCACATGTCTTTATGAGGAACTATATAAACATTCAGAATAGGTAATGCATGTATACACAAAATCCTGTTTTTAAGCATTACTGCTTTTTTATGTTGTTCTAAAAGAGCTCCTGCAGGAGGCAGGGTGGAGGGGAGCAAGCGGGGAGAGGGGGAAAGAGCTCCTGAAGTTTTGGTTTCCTGAAAAGAGAGCTTCAGTGTGCATACTGGCGGCAGAGTTTCTGTGTGCACTCCAAGGGCTGCCCTACAGAGGGAAAGGAGGCTAACCTTCAAATGACGTCTGTGTTACTGGAAAATTGTGACCCTTAATGAGTGGTCACCCTGATTGAGAAGCTCCTTGCTGGCAGAGATCTCTAAGCCTGAGCCTTATAACTTAGAGCAGACCTCTGTGTATCACACAACTCTGCATATCACAGTTTTTGCACAACCAAAATAATTCGTACTTTAATTAGTTCTTGATAATAGGATTTGACCTACATCCAGTCTTTACCGGAAATCCAAAGTTACTCCTCCCAGGGGGGATGAAATCAGTTAACTCTCACATAGGTCATACACATTCAGGGACAGTTAATAAGTGCAGATTAGCTCCTTCTGTGTGGACACTTGAGTTTCTGTAACTCCTGTCCCCCTTTTAAAAATCTTCTCATGCTTTTTTCCTTTTTCTTATGTTTTAAAAAATGATTAACAAAAAAGCAGTTGAGCTTTTGTTTAATGTGACGATTGGAGGATGAAAGAAAAGCAGAGATTAGAGGCTTCCATGAGCATCCAGTGATAAAACTGTGACAGTCATTGAGTTTCCATTATTCTGGATTATAAGTCTGTTAAAAAGTGTGCAGTGATTACTTTCACCATATCAGTGTTTCCTTACTTGTGTCTCTGTGCAGATCCTGCTAAGTGATGTTTACATTAGTTCAGAGGCTCAGTTGGTCTAACTCTTTGTATTGATCATTTACAATACAAAACACTTATGTTTAGCTTATGTTTCCAGTTGTGATGCCTGAGAACAGGATTATAAATTGTCATTTAAAAAAAAATGCAACACTTCTGATCTCTTATTTTCAGTAAGACTCTTAGTAGTTTTGTTTTGTTTTAATCACTTTACCCCCTCTCTAAAACCTGTGCATTGATACCACAGAAGCAAACGATGTATTGTTATTCAACTTCTTGGTTCGTGTATCTTGTTCTTCCTTGTTCAAAGAAACAGAGCGGCTAAACCACTCTGTAATCATTAGTCTGAAAGATGGACTAGCTTGCCTTTGTTACAATTAACAAGCAGCGCAGGCACTTTTTATTTGTTGTGGTATCTGAACTCACTGGTGGACCCCATGTGGACGGTAGGACCATCCCCTTCAGCCCTGCTGACTGACTGGTTCCCAGCGCTCTGAATGTGTAGCGCTTGTGCTGTGCTTCTCCAGGGATAGAATTAACCAGTAATGAGGCCGAGTCAACCAAGGGAAGGCTAGAGAAGCAAAAAGCAGGGGAAAACCTTTAAAATGGAAAGTTAAGCCCTGAACAATTGAATCCTCACCACTGGAATAGATCATTGTGTTTATAGCACAAAAATACCAAGTCTAGGGGCACTTGGCTGCTTTTTGACAATTGTGTATAAAAAGGAAAATTATAAAATGATTCATTATTAGTGGATTATTGTTTTTGTTAATTTACATAATCAAATGTTAATGAAAATGTTATTTTTTTAATTCTAAGGTAGGGCCAATGAGGTAAGTTTCCTTAAGCCTAGCTCAGTGAAGAGAAACTGTTTCTTGTGTCTTTCCTGAAATACTTAATTTTAGAATTTTCTTATGACTTGAAGAGCTTTCATTTGGAAGTTTGCTTTAATTCTGAGATAATTAAAGTTGTTTTTATAATTAATTTCCAAAAGTTACATTTTTCTCCTAAATGTAATAATATTGCCAAGTACTGGGAAATAAGATGTAAGGTGTTTGAATTATGCATGCCACACGTAAATCATAATTACCTGTAAAATGGAGATAGTATATACCTCTCTTCCTAGATACTATGAAGGTGAAGAATGTGAACTGACTTGCCCGATTAGTTATGTAAAGAGAAACTTTTAATCTACTTGTGCATTTTCTTCCTGTCATTTTTGTAGGCGGTATTATCTCTGCTTTTCAGATGGGAAAATTGGGGCACAGACAAGTAAAGTGGTTTGCCCAAAGATACTCAACTAATAAGAGGCAGAGTTGGTGAGCCCAGAGCTTGGCTGGTGAGCTCTTTGCTCCTGACCATGGTATGTGCCGTTGCACAGAATACAGGACGGAAGTTCTGAGAGATTTTGCTAAATATATCCAGAGGCAGCTAGGTTCTAGACTTCTCTCAAATCATAGGAACAGAGAACAATTTTCCTCCTCCTATCTTTTAGCTGGAAAATATTTTTCCAAGTAAATGTTATGATACAGTATTAGCTTGAAAGCAATTTTAGATCTGTGAAGAAATTGGGGTCTAAAGGTTTTTTTCAAAACTCTAATTGGTGTTTGAAACAAAGACCTTTAATTTTAACTCCAGTGACTTAGATTCAATGAGTTGTGAGCCTTAGGATGCTATTTTAAAGTTGAGATATAATTTACTGGTATGGGAACAAATTTTTTTGTAACACCATGCTAGATGAATGTATGTCAGGCTCATTTTTCTCTTCATTGAGCAAAAAGTGAAATCATTTATCAATTTGTGTCTTCCTTTTGGGTCCTGTACAAAGGCAGTGATATTCCCTGATCTTGGACAGTTATTTGGATGGGGAAAAACTAGCTAGATTTAACTTTATTTAAATTTGTTCTCTTAGGGGTGGCCTTATTGGTTTGAGTTTTATCTTAATTTGTAGTAGAGGAATGCTCTTTGCTTTCAGTTTTAATATCTTTATCTGCAAACTATCCTAGACGTTTCCACATAAATGTGGCTTCTGTTAGGAAGGTGCACGCCTTGGAAAAGGTGCTGCTACCTGACTAAATAGAAGCAGAACGTTTTTTAAATGTGAAGATCTCAGTTTGTGGAGTTGTTTTTTAGAGATCTTTAACCTACCAAGACCATTTTAATTTTTCAGATCACTATGAAGTAACAGAGAATGTGGAGAAAAAGCAGGAGTGGCTTACCTCGAGCAGCCTCTGCCTTTTTTTTTTTTTTTTTCCTGCTAGAAGGGGAAAGTTTTCATGTCATAACCCTAAAATTCCAAGGGTATTCTTAGTGCAGTTGCAGAGATCTGACAAAAAAATAACCAGGGAACCCATGTATCATTACAATTAGGGTTCTCTAAATCTATGTATCTTAACTGATAAGAATTAGCTGAATATCAGGTGATTTTTTTTTAATAGTGTGAATTTAGATGACAATGGGAATATTGAGTATAATCTTTTTTTTTTTTAAGATTTTATTTATTTATTTGAGAGAGAGAATGAGACAGAGAGTACATGAGAGGGGGGAAGATCAGAGGGAGAAGCAGACTCCCTGCTGAGCAGGGAGCCCGATGCGGGACTCGATCCTGGGACTCCAGGATCATGACCTGAGCCGAAGGCAGTCGCTTAACCAACTGAGCCACCCAGGCGCCCTTGAGTATAATCTTTTAAAAAGTCTCTTAAGGCTCTTAGTTTTTTGCCCATTCTCTCTCTTTTTTTTTTTTAAATTTTATTTATTTGACAGAGTGAGCAGGGGGAGGGGCAGAGGCAGAGGGAGAAGCAGGCCTGCTGAGTAGGGAGCCTGCTATGGGGCTCGATCCCAGGACCCTGAGATCATGACCTGAGCCAAAGGCAGACGCTTAACCTACTGAGCCACCCAGGTGCTCCAGTTTTTGCCCATTCTCATCTTTAGTCTGTTGTAGGGTAGTAGGTGCATCCTAAGAGACAGAACTGTTTTTGGTGAAACTATTAGGGTACGTGTTGTGTTTAAAAACCCTGTAGCAAATGAACTCTGAAATTACCTTCTAAAATGGTCCATTCAAAGTGGAGGAACAGGCCTTTCCAAAATTAGTCTGATTTTTAGCGTATGTTTTAAGAAACTATGCTCATGGTGTAAGTCCTTGAAGTGTTAGTAATACATTGCTTCAGCCCACAGCATAAAAAGCTGCACCAGGTGGTTTCTTATTGACACTGAATGTCAAGTTTGTTAAGAAATGCGTGTATGTACACACATGTTTTTCTACAGGTCAGGATTATTTTTTGGCCTGTTGGTTTTAAACAAAATGAAGTATTCATAGAACATTTAGTTCAGAAGGAATTTAAACCATTGTGCAGTCCTACTTCATCATGTAAGGGAAACTGAAACGTAGGTTGTTTACTCAGGGACACAGAAGAGTGACCACCTGCATTGTCTTTTCTTGCATAGTTAGAAGAGATTTTCATTAGCCCTCTGAATTCATTCGGAATCTTACGGCCTCACTGATACTAGCGGACTTGGAGCTCTCTCAAATTGTTGGGCACTTTGGAAGCAGAGTTTCCTGTTAGATGCTCTGACAGACTTGGCTAGGGTCATCTCTTGCACTTACTCCAGACTCTGCCGTGGACATAGACGGCACTTCATTGTGACCCCAGGAAGGGCATGTGCAGTTGGGGAGCTGGAATTCTTGGGTCTTTTGAGGCTCGCATAAACCTAAAAGCACCAGTGAACAGGGGGCTGGAGGCAATGGGAAGCTGGGGTTTGAGAGAAAATCAGGTAACTGCTAGTCTGCTTTTCTAATTAAGAAGAGAAAGCATCCAACTCTGGGTAATAAATAGACACATATACTCTGGCTCTCCTTTTATGAAGCAGAGACTCCGTAATTAATCTTCCTGCCTGGAGAGCTTTCTAAAGATTATTAGCAGGAATTGTCTTTAGAGTTGTTTTGTTTCAACCATGGGTATACACGGGTCCTCTCTTAAACTGACTTTGCCCCCTGGGAAAATGGAACTGGGTATAGGCCGAGCCGAGGGGCCCAGAGTTCTTGACTTATGCTGTATAATTTGAGCCCTGGGGACTGAGAACATGAGCTCCTTAACGTCCCTGTCCTCTGCGTCAGGATTTATATATACACGTGCTCTTCCTTGCTGCTGGGGGAAGTGTCCCTCCGCCTTTCTTTGTCTACTCTCCCTCCTTGTCGAGGCCCCTGAAAGCCTCCCAAGTATGCCTCCCTTCTCTTACAGTCTCTCCAGCGTTGTGTCCCCCGGACACGAGCCCACAGAGGGCCTGTCCCTTCCTCGCGGGTCTCTGCGCCACCCAGCCCATCTGCAGGCTTTCTCCCCCTTTCCCAGCAGCTGGGCCGTCCCTTCAGCCCAGCTGGCTGGTGTCCCACCTGCCTTCCCTCCTTCCCTCTCTGGATCCCGGTTTCCTTCCCAACGCCCCTGAACCTTTGCTCAAGGCTCACCAGTGCTGTCTCCGTTTAGCAGATGCGCACTGAGCACCTAGTACTTGCCAGCTCAGTTGTCTCCTTCATTTCCTCTCTTCCGTCTCCCCTTGGGCTGTGACACATCCCCTTGGATTCACACTGCTGTGGTCCTCCCGTGGGCCTGCTTTCCTGCCTGATGCGTAGACCCCTCACTCCTGTGTGATCTGAGCAGGCCTTAGGTGCAGACTTCAGAGCACTTGATCATTGAGCCATAACCTCTCCTGGATATTTTGTCAGACTGACTGTGCCTGGAGTGGCCCACCGCACCACACTATCACCTTTACCTCCCCAAACACTCCTTCTGATTTTGCTCCTACCGTGCTCCCAGTTTGTCACATCCCGCTTACTAAAACTCTTCCTCAATCTTCTAGGCCCAGTTCAAATACTTTTCATTTTACGGTGGCTCTCCTAGTTCTCTCAGCCCCTGTTGCTAGATTCCTGTCACCACAGTGGCAGTGGTGGGCTGATTGGTCTCCATGTCTGGGTTGCCACCATATTCTTGGTTAAGCCCAACACATTCTTGTTGACTGATTAAGTCGCCCTAGTGAAAATGCCATCTTGTACACAGCGGGCACGTGAACGTTTGTGTGGACAGTGGTTGGCCATCAGAACAGTCTGTGCACACTCAAGCCAGGTCTTCCAGAGCCACATGGGACCCTGGCAGGTGCACTTTTTAAAAGAGCCCACAGGTGATTCCTGAATAGACCGAATCGTGATAGTTCTCTCCTCTGTCCTGCCCCGGCATCTGCTCTTCCAGAGACACACTAGAAGATTTCATGAGTGATTAAGCTAACCTAGAGTCCTTGCTTTGCATGCAGATCTTCTCCACGGGGACGTGAGTTGCCTTGGTGTACATAGAGAGATCCCTGTTGGTTGGAATTGGCATAAATTTAACTTTATTGTGCTTGTACACATGGATATGCAAGGGGTTTTTATTTCACAGAGTGTGACCTTACTCTCTTTTGATTTGTAATATAAATCTGTCTTGAAAATACCTGGGTCAGATGTCAGCATGAAGCCTAAACTGAAAATCCAGAGGAAAGAGAAGGAGCTTTGTAACTGCCCACTGGGACACGACACAGTGTCTCTCTCTCTGAGGTGCAGGGGGTAGGGATGGGGTTCCTGTTTGAGGGCTCTTTTGTAGTCCCAAAGTCTGATAAAAGTATTCTTAGGAACAGTGCTAGTTTATGCACAAACAATCATGGACCACTACATCAAAAACTAATGATGTAATATATGGTGATTAACATAACAATAAAAAAAGAACAGTGCTAGTAACAAGGTAAACGCTTCTGTCCTAGTTTAGCAGTTGTAATTTTTAGAACCGTGTACTATAAAGGAGTGCCCCCTCCCAAGCAATTTGATACTAAAAAGCTCCATTAAGTGGGGAAAATACAATTTCTCTTTTCATCTTTTCTTTTTGGTTTTATAACAAAATGACTGACTTCTGTGCAGATCTTAAAACACTGACAGAGACTTTTTAGGGTTAGGAGGAAATAATGGTCTTATCCTTGTCCCATAAAGTAGACCTCACTGGCAGTATTCAGACCAACACCACTAACTTCCCAACTTTTTGACCCTGTCCCATAGGAATGTTTTATTTTGTGACCCAGCAACACCAAATACATTCATGAGCAAAAAAAAAACCAAATTTCACAGAACGGTTACCCTTTTCACGTTCTGCTCTGTTTTCTTTTTCTATGCTGGCTGCTAATGGGTTTCCCCTCAGTTTCAAAACCCCTGGTTCATCCCTAGAGAGTGAGATACTCTTGCAAGCCTCCCTGGTAGTGAGAAGACTGGCCACAAGTGGCAGAAAATAGGAACCAAAGCATCTTTGAAAGAGATGTTTTGCTTTTACCTTTGATGGCAGTAGTACTACATAGGTAGTTTTGTAAATGTTAAAATAACACGTAAGGGGCATTTACCGATTCCCAGGTTCTAGATAGGCTCTCTTTTATTAGTTTAAAAGTAGCATTGGCCCGCTCAATGCAAGTCAATATAACTGAAGCAGTTTTAGAGGTTCTTAAAGGAGGCAAGAAAGTCTTCTGCAAATCTTACTGACAGTATCAGTATAGTTTTTAAGTCTCCGTCTTGAAGTTAGAAGTACCTGAAGGTCTGTTTTGTAGCCACATTCTTTAGTTCTCTTACTTGTGATTGATTCTCTTTCCACAGAAATCTTTTGTAGAAGCTGTATATACAAAAATATTATAAAAAAAAGGTCCAAATTCTGAATATTCTGGCATATATATACATATATCTTTCCAGACTGTTTTGGTGTGCACATAGGTCTATACTAAAGAAAAACATTTAGCTTTGCGCAGTGGCAGTATCGTAGCCAATGAGGTTTATCTGAGGTGTGATTATTGCTAATGGAAAACATTTAAAAAACCAGTTGGCATACTGTACATATGGTTTTGCAACCTGTAAAAAAACGTTGACAACTTCTTTCATGGTATATATATACATCTCTATCATTATTGTTAATAGCTGAGTAGAATTTCATTGTCAGTTATAATTCGCGGAGTATACTTTATATGCATGTGTTATAACCAGTTTCCCTATTGCTAGACATGTAGGTGGATCTCACTTTTTCACTATTATAAACAAGGCCACACTAAACATTTGTGTACCTGTCTATAAAGTTGGTATAAACCATGTTTTTACATGAAGTTTTTAAAATGGACTAGAAATCACGTCCTTTCACGGTTTGTACAGAAATCTTTTCTAAACTTTTTTTTAAAGAACTTTTACCTTTTGTCAGAATAGTGTCATCTTTGCTATTATAGTGTGAAATAAATAAAATTTGAGATGGAAACTTGACTTACTAGAAACTGATTCTAGTTCTTGCCTTAATTTTCAGACAGTACCTGTAACGAAAAACAGTAAAGAAAACAGACTAAGAGGAAACAAAGTGTTCTGCGCGGTGGGTTTCTTATCTAGTGTAGTAGCTGACTCATTAACTACTCATGACCTTATTAGGTGCGGGAGCACCGCACATCTGGGCTGTTCCCCTCTAGGTTCGGAGAAGCTTTTATGGAAAACAATTTTTGGTTTTGAATTTATTTGATTTCTTAAGTCTTTAAGTACTTTTTTTATTTTTTTTTTTAAAGATTTTATTTATTTATTCATGAGAGACAGAGAGAGAGAGAGAAGCAGAGGGAGAAGCAGGCTCCCCGCCGAGCAGGGAGCCCGATGCGGGACTCAATCCCAGGACCCCGGGATCATGACCTGAGCCGAAGGCAGATGCTTAACCATCTGAGCCACCCAGGCGCCCTTTAAGTACTTTAAAAAAAAATTTTTTTATTTATTTGAGAGAGCACCAGCAGGGGGAGGGGGAGGGAGAGGCCACTGGAGAGGGAGAAGCAGGCTCCCCGCTGAGCAGGGAGCCCCACGTGGGGCTCAGTCCCAGGACCCTGGGATCATGACCTGAGCTGAAGGCATATGCTTCACCGACTGAGCCACCCAGGCGCCCCAGTCTTTAAATTTAATTGCTGCTGCTGCTAACCCTGCCGTCTGACTCCAGCCCATTATAATGCTTTCCATGTTTGTGTTTTTTCGTAGAAAGACAGGTTGTCTTTTACTATTTGTGGGCATTGGGCTATGTAACCTGTTAAGTAGCTCCAGATGACCTATGGACCATGATGATCCTTCAAGTCTTACTAAGAATGGATTATCGGGGCGCCTGGGTGGCTCAGTCGTTAAGCGTCTGCCTTTGGCTCAGGTCGTGATACCAGGGTCCTGGGATCGAGCCCGGCATCGGGCTCCCTGCTCCGTGTGGAGCCTGCTTCTCCCTCTCCCACTCCCTCTGCTTATGTTCCCTCTTTCGCTGTGTCTCTCTCTGTCAAATAAATTAATAAAATCTTAAAAAATGGATTAACTTTTATGGACATTGCTTTCTTTGCTGTTTCAGACGTTTCTGTACATATTGTTAGGGGCAACTTTTACTCAAAAATGAATAAACTAGTATTTTAAAAAATCACTTTTAAAGTATCTATCTTAGGAAACATTATTTATATGTTTATTTTTATAGTAAAATACATAATAACCACATTGTAAGAATAGTATAGTAAAAGGTAAAAAAAAAAAAAAAAAAGCAACTTAATCCCTCCATTTTAACATAACTACTACGGCCAGATTTTTTTCCAGTCTTTTTTTTTACGTGTAGATTTTACATAGTTGTATGTGGACTTTGAAACAAATGTCGTTGTGTAAGGGAGCATGAATTAGATCAGAGGGCGAAGTTAAGAAAAGTATACACCAGATCGTTAATTACTAGAATTCTAACTTTCTCATGCATTGATTCTTTCCAGTACGGTATTGGGTTGAGTTGTGAATGGAGGAAGGGTACTGCTCGTCATTTATTTGAAATGCAATACTTAAATTATAAAATACCGTAATTCTGAAATGGATTCTTACTATTGCCTTCCCTTTTGAGAACCCTAGTTCTTAGGGATCTCTGAGTAGCTTCTTCAAGACAACTAAGACACCAAATCATATTTGTTAACAGTAAAAAAAAATTAGGCACACTTGTGCACACATGCACACACATAGATCAGACTGCAAAATTGGTAATGTAACTTGATAAGAAGTATGTTGTACTCTTGCAAGATACGTGTTCTGCATTCAGAGAATACGATTTTGTGTCCATGAGGTGAGAAATTGCCACAGATTTTTTAAAACTTGTGGCCAGAAGCCATTTTATGTGTTAATGACATTTACACCCTGTACCCATGATTGATACTTTCCCTTGGAGGCTGAGAACTTCCTCCTGTGATTATTTGGAAGTTACTGGAATGAACAATGAAAGCAGGTAGAGAAGATGTGTAAAGGAATTAGGATGTAGTTGAAGGGCTTTGCGGTCAGACGGCCTGAACCTGGACCCTGCTGCTCCTTTGGGGAGGTGCTGGGGATCAGAATCCCGCTTAACCTCCCGTGGCAGTCATGAGCATAGAATGAAATGTCTCAGGTGAACGTACTTTGTAAAGTTGCAAAGCCCACTCACTGGACGTTCTGATGCCGGTCCTCCTCAAGCCAAATGGGAAGAACGCTCTTACGTGGGGTCTTGTAAATGAAACCACAGTGAAGTTCTTAAGAAAGCAAACCGCCTAATCGCGACCCCGTTTCTTTTCCCTTCCAGTCTTCAAGCAGCGACAGTGGTGGGAGCAGCGGCGGCAGCAGCATCAACAGCCCGGACCGGGCAAGCGGGCCGGAGAGCAGCTTGAACCACGCGGCGGCCGGTTCCGGCCCTAACACCCCTCAGCCTGTTCCCGAGCAGTCTGCACTGTGCCAGGGCCCGTACTTCCACATCAACCAGACCCTGAAGGAGGCCCACTTCCATAGCCTACAGCACCGAGGACGGCCTCCGACATGATGTGCCGCCAGTTTCTTGCCTTCTGTGAAGGGACAGCGCTGTGCAGATTTGATATTTCAACTTACGATGTTTTAAAAAATTGCACAAAAATATGCCTGTTGGCTTTTCAGTCTATATTTGAAATAATGGGTTGACAGGCAGTTGTTTACTTGTGGTTTTGCTGCACTATTGCAATTTCAAAGGGGCTTTGAAGCAATTTTTTATAGGATTCTTTTGAGGGTGGGTATCAAATCCATGTCGAGGTAATGGTATGAGGAAATCTCATCTGCGTGTTGAATCCATAGTTTGTCCAGTTCAGATTGATTTCCAGATATGTCCATTAGAAATTCTACTTTATGTAAAAAGGCCTTTTAAAAATGTGGGATCTTCAATTTTTTAAATTCAATAAACTAGTAAAGAATATCTAGTTTCCATGAAAAAACCTAAGTTGTTTTCCAAAATATAGAAAGCTTGATTCAGTCTTGCACTGAAATTAATTGCCATACTACCTCTTAGTATGTAGATGTCCTGTTGAAAGTACTCTCTCCTCTGTAACAGGAGAACAATCAGATCCAAGTTAGACTGTGTCAGTGAAGCAGCCTTGCTAATTGTCTTCTCTCTTTGTTATATATTTGTATTTCCAGAGAGAATGTCTTTCACACTTGTATACCCAGCTCACTTCTGCTACCGTTACTCCTCCAAAGCCTCCATCTCAGACTTAGTAGGAAACACGGCACAGTTCTGACAGTCGAGAAGTACGTAATGACCTTTGTCTCACTCATAGACTTGTTCTATCAGCAGCTTCTGTGATCTCGCCGGGAATCCACCTTGGGGTTCAAGAATTAAGGCGCTGAGGAATGCTGACCAAGTATAAGCTATCTGAACTGCTGTCTAAAGTCACAAGTATTGTGAAACCGTTGGACAAGGATTCACTGTATGCTTACAGGAACCCCTAACAGTAACTGGGGGGCCACATTACACCGCTGAAACTGGAAAGACTGGTGGCTTAGAAACAAACAAGCAGAGGCACCGTTAGCAGAAATGATGTAGTATTTATTTAGAGAGAGACGGATATGTTCCCGTGTTATTTAGTCATACTAGAGAGCCAACCTAGCTTGAATAATGAAGGCGTGGATGCGTCTTCTTCCTCACTGACCAGCTGTCGGAACAAGGAGCCAGGCTGCGTTGGGTCACCTGCTCTTGAGAGTGCCGGGGGGACAACCTGCCATGCATGTAGAGGAAAGTGCCTTAGAGTCTACCCAGACCCTCCTGCCTGCTCACACCCGCCACGGCACGCGGAGTCCACACGGCACACACAAGCAGATCTCAGAAGCACAGAGAGCCCTAGTCGGGGGACTCTGCCCTTTGTCAACACTGGCAAAAGACATAGGGGACAAGATGAGATCTTCTTATGGGACAGAACTAACATTTGAGGATGAGGACTATCCTAGGAAAAGGGTAAACATAGGTACCTCCTTTCCGCGGTCTGAGCCTCTCCTACGGACAGAACTTACATGTCAGTTACTTGAAGTAGAGATTCAGAGTCCCAGCCTGCGGAGGGGACGGCCTGTGCAGGAGCCTGTGCTTTTCACTACCGCCTCCCATGGTGTACAACCAGAGGTTTAAGAATTTTGGTCTTACTGGGTTTGATGGCAGGGAAGGTGGAAAGGACGCGTTGCTAATATTTTGTCCACCAAGAAAGCAAACAGAACTAAAGGCTGTAAGGAGACAAGCTGTTGGGGCTCAAGCACACGCGTACACAACACAACTCAGAAATACCCAGGAGGACTCCTGCGGGCTTAATGGATGGCAGTTGACTGAAATAAAACGTGTATTAACAAGAAAATGTCAAACTTGAGGAAGCAAATTCCCTTTTATTTCCCACCCACCTGCAAGAAATGGAAGATGAAACCACCACCAGAACAAAAGTTTTTTTTCCAAACAAGTACAATCGTTGTGCTGGGTTAAGTGGTTACCTCTTCCACCCTACGAACAACAAGAAAGAGTCTCCGTCCTGTCCTGCTTGTTTTCTACAGCCTTGGCAGCCTGAGATAACATTTCTATTATGAGGCTACTTGATAGTGTAAATGGGCATCTTTTAAAACTCCTCTCAGCTCAAGCTAGTGAAACCTTGTACTTCTATATTGCGTCGCCATTAAAAGCAGCATTAGTGCATTTTGTCATTTCGTTCTTTATCGATTATTTAAAGGGGAACTAATCGGGTGGTTTGGTGGGAGATGGGGACAGGATCCATCCGGGTGCACCCCCTGCTCTCTGCACTAACCTGGCCTTTGGTTTCGATGCTTCCGCTGGTTGATTTGGCCTTTCGGGTAGTTGTCATGCTCAGGGGAAGAAGTCCAAACCTCCAAGACCAGATGAAGAGTGTTAGTGTTAGTGGCATGAACAGGAAGCTCCGGGGCCCAGCAAAAGCATCTTAGAATCCTTACCTGATCTGACTCGACGCTAGGGGCAGTATGTTATGGGGTTCTTGGGAGTTGAATGTGCAGCTCCTGGGGGTGAAATGATTCTCTGTTCCAGTGACCAATCCAAATAGAACCTGGCAGACAGGACAGAGGGCACAGTGACAGGCTGGGTTTGTCCCTGTCAGGTTAAAAGAGAAAATCCCTTTTCTTGTTTCTCACCATCCTTTGGGGGAATGTTCCTTGCAGCGTGTTTATGCTTCAGAATTACCTTTTTCACTGCCCACAGGTCAGAATCTCAGAGTCACAGCGCTCTTTTGTTTTATTCCTCTTTCTGAGGCCTTGCTAAAACCTTAATCCCTTAATCATCCTTATCTACAACTAGAGGGGTGTGATCACGGTTGCCTCCGGAGTGAGATTTTATCTAATCCTCTTTCGGCCCTTACAACTAAACTGAGCTATTTGCATCCCAGCTCCCTCCCAACTGCCTCCTACAGTATTAAGTGCTGGAGTGGGTTTACCTTGTCATTTGAGCCTGTGGCCCTGCGTTCACCCCGAGCACATTTCTCACATGACTTACAGAAGTTCGTTGCACCAGGCGATTAAGGTTGCTGTTGAGGTGTGGTGTGAAAACATCCAGGTCAAATGGGTCAATGAGTGCTTCCAGATAGTCAGCCACTTTCTCAATTCTGAAAAAGAATTATGGTTATTCTCCACATTTTTTTAGGTCAAAAACCAACCTTACGGCATTTCAATGCTAAAGAAACCCCGTATTTGGATTTATTCTTACTTGCTGGCTTGGTACCACCTGTCCCTGCCCATGGTGCTTAAGTAATCCTCAAGAGTTTTAACCAGCTAAGATTTCTGAATGAAGTCCTTTCCTTCCTCATGTTGTCAGGGACAGCGCCAGAGGCTCAAATTATACCCAAGATAGGTGGACTCAGAAGAGAGTGGAATGAGATTCCACCCACCATGCTTGACCATGGCATCTATCCAGCAGGTGGCCATTATTGATCTAGCTGGTAACGTGAGGACTTCCTGGTTAAAGCTAACAGCTAATGCACAACGAGAGGCTATCTCTTGGTGGCTTTCTGCAAAGGGGCTGTGTGCCCTCAGCAGAGGCGGCACTGGGAGAGCCCGCTGGGGTGAGCATACCTAGAGTCCTGTTTGCTGCGGCCACTTTTCACCTCCTCACCCCGGGCTGTCAGAACAATGTTGAGATAACGCAGATCATAAAGCAGCTGCAGGGCCCGATTCTGGGTCATCGGGAAGGCACCTTCTTTCTGTAAACGAATGTCCCATCCCCAGGGAATGGGGCAGGGGAGAGGATTTGTTAAAGAGCTTACTGTTTGGTTGAGGTACAGCTTGTTGCTTCAGAAGCAGCACCTTGTGTACTCAACAAGGACTGTTTGATGTTACAACAACGGGTTATATTCAAAACTTGGTCTTAAACCAAACTAAAAACCTTCAAACAAAGGCCTCGGGTGTGCAGACTGCCCTTTTAGAAGAAAAAAAGCTCCTCGCGTGAAGGAGAGTCATTTTGAGGAAGCTCAGGAGACTTCCCTGAATTCTTTCCCAAATCAGGAGGTGGTCCTGTCTTAAATATGTCACTGATGAAACGGGAACACCCACCAAGGGCAGAACACTTCGGGGAAGGGGCGAGGGAGGTGGGGGGCTGGGAGACAGGAGCTCCCTCAGCCTGTGTGTGCCACATGCCGCCCTGGGCATGGTCACCCACCACTCCTCCCAAGCAGTTCTCCAAGGGACCACACCTGACCCTGGAGAAACAGAGAGCTTCGTGATTTGCCCAAAGCCATAGCACGCACATGGCAGTGCTGGGGTTGGACACCAGGCCTTTTTCCCTTCCTGCCGAACTGCCCTTTAGTGCAGACCTGCTTGATCCTCAAGAGGAGGCATGATGAACTCGCAGAGCGGGAAGCCACTACCAATTAGCCGGCACTGAGGGTAGACACTTGGAATCCTTGATGGGTACTGCCCAAACCCGAGAAAAAAAACCTCAGGTTTGTATTTCCGTTTTTAGTGGGAAAAAATTCAAACACCTACCTTCACCTGTTTTTCTTCTGCTAGTTTCTCATAGGCAGCCACCACTTGGACCATACAGCTTTTCAGCATCTCCTGCAGTGTCACTTTTGGCAAAGCGTGGCCTCCAACCCGATTAATTTCCTGGCAGAGGCTAAACAGGAAGGACTGGACATACCAGGATGGCTAAGAGAACAAAGGATTGTTGAGTCAGCGACTTGTGCCAACGGAGGGAGACGTGGTAGAAGTGGGTCCACATATCCTCACTAGGCTCATGTGCCAGGACCTGGACCTCCCCAGGCAGCCCCTTCCAGCAGGGCAGTTAATAGATAAAAGTGACCATCACTGTCATTGGTTTGGTGGCTGGGGGCTGACCTGGCAGGTGGCACTATGCGTTATGCTGTTTTCACTTTGGGGTGAGCAGCTCTCCAATGAGCAGAGCCCAGGCTGCACAGGAAACAATCATTAGATGACTTCTCGAACATTCTGCTACCTACTCGGCCCTATGTCTACTCTACCCCCGTGGTACAAAGTTATCAATACCAGTTTGGCTCTTCTTCGGAGGCTGTATGTCGGCTGATTTTCCTGTCTTTTTCCTCTCTGCAGAGTGGGCTGTTTGGCCCAGTCCAGCCCACAGGCACTCTCCTGGGGGCACCTGCTCACCTGTATAGGGAGTCGGATTGTGGACGTGACGCTGCTGCCAGACTCTGCTTCCTCTTGGATTTCTAGCTCATCCCAGCTGGTGGCTGTGGCCAGCACTGAGCCGGCGTCGTCTAAAAGTAACGACTGGGTGAATCCATGAGCCAAAACCTGGTAATAAAAAGCAAATACCCAACAGGCCACTTAGCTCCTTTAGAGAGTGTTTCAAACCACTTGAGTAATCTTGAGCCCAGCTTCTGCTGTGTGGGTCACGTGCGGGGTGGCGAGTGGAAATGTCACTTTTCTCGGGCTAATTACCCATGTCAGCCATGGGAATTTTGTTGTAACTACCTCACAAACGTCCAGGGCCACCTCTTAAGACACCAGGGGAGACCATAGGGAATAAGACATTCAGGTGGAAGAGTAGGAAATCTAGACCCTTGTCCAAGGAGGTCTTTCATTCTTATCAGATGGAAAGACAAAAACCCAGAGTTTGTGTCTATAAAATCTAGGCTAAACATTTGAATGGAAAAATGTTTACATTTGTGCTATCACAGAGAAGTGAAAGTAACTGCATGAAACAAGGACTGTTACTCCCTTGCTATGAAAAGACCTCCCTGAGCATGTGATGTAATGAGCACTGGGTAGTCTATGACTGATGAATCACAGACCTGTACCTCTGAAACCAATAATACATTATATGTTAATTAATTAAATTAAAGAAAACAAATGCAAAAAAATTAATAGACATAGACCAGAAAGTAAAGATATGCCTTGTTAAAACTGACATTCTCGCTAGTTTGATACTTACAAGTACATAATAGAGATATAAAATAAAGTAAGTTTTATTAAATTTTTCTTGGGAAAAGAAAAAAAAAAAAGACAAGACCTCCCTGAGGTTGGCCAGCCTGAAACATGATGGAAGGGAGCCAGGATGGGGTTGCGCGGTGAGCACGGGCAGACTGTGTGCGTGTCACTCACCTTCACAACTGCTGAGCTCCAGACGCGGTAGCCCATCACGCTCTGCTGGAGGAGGAGTTCCTTAACTTCCTGCCATTTCCCCTGCGTAGGAATTATTTCCCGCGTTTTCCCCTTTCCCTGTTTTTTCAGAGCCCTGGGATCCCTTGCTGGTCTCTCGGAGCTTCCCGACTTTCCCAAGATGCACTGCTTCAGGTGGGGACACAGTTCTCCCAGAGATTGGCAGAGTCTGGCCATGAAAAGGACTGAATGCAACTTGACACCACTGAGGACATCCTGCTGCCCCTGCACAACCTGTTCGACGCTCTGCAGCTCTGCCCGGATGTGGTCTGTGATGTGCTTGATGCACGCCACCGAGTGAGTCTGCAGCGTCTCCCGCACAGTCCCGGCATCTGCATACCTGTCAAAGGCACGGCTCTGGGCTGGCACGGGGGAGACGTCCTTGGGCAGGGACGCGTCAGCAGAGGGAAGGTAAGCCAGGAGGTCATCGAGCTTCACCTTCAGTTTAGAATCTAGGGCAGAGCAGAAGTTCTGGACACAAGGGCTAACGGCCTGTGCTTTCATGGAGAGTCCACTGCCAGCAAAGTGCCCCCGGTGCGCCACGCTGACCCAGGCGGCGTCGGGAGGCAGGTCTTGGGGGCTCTCGGACCAGAGGAAGAGAGACATGTTGTGCTCAAAGTGGAGGTGCTTATTTGAAGTGGAGTTGCTGGTGTTGCCCTCAAGCTCCTGCAGGGCTGAAATGAGCAGTTCCTTGGAGCTGGTGGAGATGGAGTCAAAGCCTTCTTTTGTCAAAGTCTGAAAGGAAGCAGGGGAGAGTTCCAGTCAAGACTCCTGTCAGGAAATCTGAAATCAACAACCCCAAGTGGCAGTCCATCCTGGCACTCTGCGTGTTCTCCAGCATGCTCAGGAGGATGACGTGGTGTTGGCAGAGACCGGAGTCGTCACGGATGGCCACGGACATGTTCCCGACCATGTAACAGAGGCCTAGTCTCTTTCTGCACCAGAGTCTGGATCTCTGCTTATGTCTAGGGCTCATTCTCCAGAAGAGCCATTGCTGAGTCAGTCAGGAGAGAAAGAGTACACTCAGGAGTGACAGAAGTCCCCCCAGACAGTCAAAAGATCATACTAGGATTGGCCAGAAAACAACTGGACCATGTAATCTCCTCACCTGTAATCGGTCAAAGAACAGCTCCTGCATCAGATCCTCCCAGAACAAGAGCGGCTTCTCCAGAAGCCGCTGACATATCACATCCCAGCTGTGATTGGTGGATTCATTGGTAAGTAATTCCCACATGGCATCGCGGATCCCTGCGAGACCTTTCATGCTTTTCACGTACATAAGCAGGTTGGTGATCCCATTTTTAATGTCTTCATTACACCTGCAACAAAATCATTTCTCTTGGGCCTTATTAGATTCATGGTTTTCACACCTTTATTAAGAAAAACAGGGTGGGCGCCTGGGTGGCTCAGTTGGTTAAGCGACTGCCTTCGGCTCAGGTCATGATCCTGGAGTCCCGGGATCGAGTCCCGCGTCGGGCTCCCTGCTCGGCAGTGAGTCTGCTTCTCCCTTGGACCCCTCCCCCTTCTCATTCTCTCTATCTCATTCGCTCTCTAAATAAATAAAATCTTTAAAAAAAAAAAAAAGAAAGAAAAACAGGGCGCCTGGGTGGCTCAGATGGTTAAGCGGCTGCCTTTGGCTCAGGTCATGATCCCAGGGTCCTGGGATCGAGTCCTGCATCAGGCTCCCTGCTCAGCGGGGAGCCTGCTTCTCTCTCTGCCTCTTTCTCTCTCTGTCTCGTATGAATAAATAAATAAAATCTTAAAAAAAAAAAAAAAGAAAGAAAAACAGCAGCACTCCATTTGAAAACCTCTTACCTGGGTCCCAATATAAATATTTATATCTCTCGCAGTTTTTATAAATATATATAAACAGCATTTCTGGCTACATGGGGGATGGGGCCTACCCTTGCCTCCCTGAGGTATCTATCTGGAAGGAAGGCTAGAGCACCCTAGAATGGCTTCAAAACCACTGCATTACATAAAAGCTTAGGAGTGGCAGAACTCTTACACAGAATTCTAAATCCTGTAGGTAATATTTTGAAAGGCGAATTCCCTCTTGGTTCTCCCACAGTGGGGGCTAACCTGCCACGAAAGCAGTGACCGGTGGCTGAGCAAGTGCCTGGCGTGACCCAGTGGGCAGCAGGCAGAGCACCATCCAGAAGATCAGGCTTCTCCCTCCTTCCTCAGTGGCCCTCACTGGCCCTCGTGTGGCTACACAGGCGGTCCCTGCCCGCCTCAGGAAAGTTCTGGCTACTTACATGTTCTGGCTACTTACATGTGGATCCATTTCTGCAGCGTGTCTTTCAGGTACTCCTGGCTGATGGGCTGTGCCAGGGTTCGGAGAGCTGGCTGGAACCGGATGATGGATGCCGGCAGGTGTTTGAACCAGCTGCAGAGCTTCATCTCCTCTTGCAGAACGCCGGCACCCTTTCCTAAGAGAAGGCCAAGTGACAAGCAATCAGGGCCATCCTTTGAAAGGCATATTAAAAAATGGACCTAGAAGCAACCTCCAAAAATCATTTGGTTTTCTCCTGGGCAGGTCAGACAGGACCCCCGAGACAGGGGGAAAAGGAAGTATAGACTGTACGCCCATCAGGGAGCTGGCAGCTTCGTGCCAACTCTGGGCACCACATTGGTAGAGAAGGCGAAGGACAAGGAGGAAGGGAGTGGGTACGGGGCAGGGAGAGAAAGCAGTACTGAGCGCTGTTGCAGCCCTCGACGTTGTCACAAAGTAAAAGGTGACAGTTTCCTTTTCCTCACCATCCTCCGACCAACCTGGAAGAGCTAAAGAAAGACTGAAAGACCACTCATCCTGATTGGTGAATTGTAGCTCTTCAAAGGTGACCTCCCAAGAAGGACACAGGCATCTGTGGGGCGACTCTGGGGGAGGCCCGTTCACCGTGTTGTGTGAGCACCCTCCGGAGCTCGAAACACAGGGGTCCTTCTAAGGTCGCTTGCACTTGTTGTCCAGAGCCATGACACATTAGGCCGTACTCACCTTTCACGAGGAGGGATAAATCATTAAGTGGAAGCACCTAGAGGGAAGCCAGGGCATAAGGAAGTGGCACCCTCGTTGAAAGATAAATAAGCCCAAGAAGAGGCTACATAATACATCTCTCTCTCTGAAAATGACCAGGTGACTGTCCCCATGTTCTACCTGTTTCTCTTCTACCTTTGGGACTATGTCTCCTCTGCTTGACCCCCGAGTTCTGGAGTCCCCTGAGGCACAGTCCTCTGCCATCCTCTCTTCTTCCTGATGATGTCCCTCATCCCCACGGCTTCAGACAACAGCCATATGCACGGATGTGTGTCTCCAGCCAGACCCCTCACTGCTCTGTTCTGGACCCCCAGTCACCTGCCCACTCCACCACATTCCCATTCCAGGGGCTCAATCGTCTCCAAAGCAATATTTTCAAGAGCGAACTCATCATCAGCCCTTTCAAACCAGCTCCTTTTCTAGTAAACCTGGACACCTCCTTTCTGTACCCTCCCCACCAATACCAAATCCCCTGCTAAATAGATGTCCAGGTTGTCCAGTTAGCCCCCATCGTCTGCCACCTAGGTCATGATGACAGCCTCTCAAGTGAGCTCTCAGCATCTACTCCAGACCCCATGAAGATCCACTGCCACAGAAAAGCCAATTGTATTTAATTCCAGTTAGGATAAATGCTATCAAATAAAAGCACAGGATGTATGGGAACATATAACAGAAGGGCGAATAAGCCTGGAAGGTCCTAGAAGGCTATCCATTGTTCTCTGGATAAAGTCCAAACTCCCCAGCCTGGTCCGTACAGCTCTGCGTTATCTGGTCACACCTAATAGACTGGCCATGCCGCTTCTCATGCTGCTCTTCCTCCACCCAATACCCCTTAGCCTCACCTGCTTGCTTTTAATTTCTTAAATGTACTAACACCTTTGCACATCCCATCCCCTTTGCCTGGAACTCTTTTCCTTGCCTTCCTCACCTAACTCTTAACCAAACTTTCGGTTTTCAGTTTAAATATCATTCTCCAAGGAAAGCCTCACTGGTGAGGTCCCTTCTTTCAATGCTCCCAAGTCAACCTGTACTTTGCCTTTATAGTAGTTGCCACTATTGTTTCTCAATAGATATGTCTGTATTTGTGAGTTCAGCATTTGCCTCTGCCTTTAGACTGTGACCTCCACGAAGGTGGGGTCCATATTTGTCCAGGGCACTGCTATATCCCCAGAGACCCCAGGGCAGTAGCAGGCAGGTGGCAGGTGCTCAGTAAATAACGGCTGAATAACCTGAAAGTAAGAAAGGTTGGCTAAGACCTCACCGGTAGGATGCTGGCCTGTGATGGTCTCCAGAGTTGAGAAGAGCAAGCCACATGGCAGGGATGGATCTGGCAGCTGACCTTCCGGTAAAGTGTAGAAAAGAGCATGAGCTTGGTTCAAAGTGGTGGCTAGCAGCTCTACTAATGAGCAAACCTGGGCCTTGATGCCGGCACCTACGAGAAGAAACCATCCTCCTGTAAACAGTTTCCTTTAGTAAAGTTAGAAACAGAGAACACTCTAGGTGCTTCATTCTCCCTCAGCTCCCCCTTCTCCATTCCCTTAAGGACCATATTTTGGAAAGAAGCCAAACCTACCATGGTGTGGCTGGTCGAGAAGTTTCTGAATAGCTGCCTTTCTGGCCAACAGGAAGTCTGTTAGGGCTTGGCGAGGAGAACTCTCTTCTAAGAGCATTATGGAGCACAGGGCCTCTGCTACAGCTTGGTCAGACACGGCCTGGCACTTGAGCAGCATCTTACTTTCATGCAGAATAGTTGACCTAAAAAGATGATGACGGAGAGCAACAGGGAATTTTTTACATCTTGGGAAGAAGAACCCTGGTACATCAGGATAAAAGGCACACTCCGTGAACTGGTCGGGGTGAAGCGCAGCCATCCCCAGCGCAGATCTTTATGCTGGATCTACGTACCGGAAGTGGCCGGCCGCTGCGGCCTGCCGGATGAGTATGGGGAACCGTGAGAGGACCGGGCTGTACCGGGAACTAGAGGAATCCAGCTGGAGCAGGTTGTGAAGGTGGCAGCAAAGCAGGTAGAGCTGTGTGGCGTGCAGATACTGGGAGGCCTCCATTGAGCTCCAGATCTTCTCGGGAATTTCTAAGAGTAGCTTGATCTGGGCAGCCATGCTGTAGAACTTCTCCTGGGACGGCTGCTGGGGCTGCAGGGAAAGGCACGGAACGAACGCAGACCAGTGCATGGTCAGTGTCTGGCAGGCTTGGGGAGAAACGTGGGGGTACTGCAGGGTACAAAGCTTTTATTATGCCTGATTTGATGCCACTTGGCAAGGTTCCCAGGTTAGGTGTAGTGGAATGACTGGAGTCAAGAGCGCCGGACAGCCCCACCGGATTGTCCTCCCAGTCATACGGAGATGCAAACTTAATCTGGTCATCTCAGTCTGGTTATCTGTGACCTTCGAGATGTCTCCACAGCATGGAGCTCTCCGGACCACCACTCAAGTGAGCGTTCGCCTTCCCTGTTCTGATGTTCAGCCTCCCTACGTTTGCACCTGCTTCTTTGAGTGCCTGATGGACTTCTTTGTGACTCGTCCATCAGATCTTCAACTGGTGCCGTCCTCACGCCTCTCCCCGGCTCAGTCCGCCCTCCTACTCCCGGACTCCTACCCTCCAGCGTCACCTCTTAGCAGAACACCACTCCCAACCTCTTTTTTAGTCCTCACCACTCCCAAGTCCCACTGGAGCCTTTTCTGCCGTTGCCCTGCTAAATTTCTCTGCCATTCCATAATCCGCATGTTCAAAACTAAACTCATCTCCCTACCAAAAATTTTAGTCATCCGACGTCCATATGTATCTTAGCATACCACCAATCTGCTCCCAAGTTCCCAGGAGATTCATATCCTTCCCATGGTTCTGATCTGGAGACATCAGGAGGGGGAAGAAGGGTACTACAGGTGTCTAGTGGGTTGAGGCCAGCGATGCTTATAAACATTCTATAATGCACAGGACAGTCTCTACAACAAAGAATGATCCAGCCCCAAATGTCAAAAGCACCAAGGTTGAGAACTCCTGCTTTAATTAAACTGATTACCTGGTTTTAATTGTCTTTTCATACTCCAGACCCATATTCCAAATCTCATCTGTCATGAAGGCCCCTCCCTACCGAGAAGGACTCAAGCCTGAAGTGACTTCCTTCAGAAATCTTATGGTAAATGTACATAAGTATTTTGGAATCAATCACACATTATCGTAAAATGCTTTCTACTGTTATTCTGAATTATTTACATTTTTCTCATCAACTTTCCATGGATTTAATTCCTTGACTAGATTGTAAGCTCCTTCAGAGCAGGAATTAGGGGCTTCTGTTTCTTTGTGCCTGAACACACAGAGGGCACTCAAATTTTTGTGGGTCTGACTGAGAATAAATCAGATACAACAAGTATAAAAAATACATACATTTCTAAAGTCAGGCACAGTACAAGTTAACTTTTTAATAAACCATGAAGCAAGACTCAGTTATAGGAAAGGCTGGCCAACTAGGAGGAGGCAGGTATAAATGCACAGCTTACAGAGGAGAGGGATGAGGTCTCTCATTTCAAAAAGTATTTCCAATCTTCTGTGGTTGTGTTGTGTGAGCCCTGCCTACTAACCCGGATTCCTCTAAAACCCAGGTTGTATTAAAAAATTACAAACGGGAGCTAAATTGTACTTTTGCAAGTTCTTCCATGTCCTATAAGGTTCTTCCCTGGGGTCAAGAACAAATTCCCGGTTTACCTTTCTCATCCTCCCTACCCGTTCACTTAGTCATCCCTAAGTCAACATTCTTTAGGAATGCAAAATGCTGCTCCAGTATTAGGATGTATTTAGGGCTGAATCCTTCCATACCAGGTCTAATCATTAGGGTTTGGAGGAAAAAAACAGGATAACTTGATTAGAATAACCTTAGTTCCCTAAAATGAAAATGTTCCGCTATTGAAAAATAGAAGGGGGCTTGACGGCTGGTACTGTCATTCAACAACTCCACCAAAGGTAGAAGAGCTCTTTGGGTTTGTGGAGGTTATTCCTGGGACCGGCGTGGGGAAAACACTGGGATGAGGAATGAACGATATGAGGGGAAGGTGTTAAAATAAGGGAGACATGTGTTCTAAGAATGTCAGGAAACGTTATATAGGAAATGAGCTGAACGGTCTTGCGAGAGACCCCTGGCGTTTTCATCTAAACTGGGGAGAGCCCAGCGAAGCCACAAGAGAGGTGAGGGAATCAGGGCCCGGAAGTCAGGGAAGGCTCCTGAAGGGAGCTGCTGAATGACCGGTCAGCAGCCAGCGAAAGGACCGCCGGCGTTCTGCCCCGAGGAAGGGAGTCCAGAAATTGGCGGCAGGCTCTTCCCTGAGGCAGGTGAGGCTCGCGCGGGGGGCCGAGGACTGACGGGCAGCCGCGGGAGGGCGGGTCCTGCGAGGGGGGGCGGGGCCGGGAATGCGAGGCTGACCTGTGGGTCCCGCGGCGGCCGGGGGACGGCCGAGCCGGCTTGGCGGAGCCGGGCGCAGTACTGGTCGGTGGCCTTCACGGCGTCCACCAGCCCCTCGGCGCAGCGGCGCATCTGGCCGATGGTGTCGGCCGCCTCGATCAGGTCGCGGTACCGCTCGCCCACCATTTGCCGCAGCTCCTCTTTCTTGTGCTCGATCTCGGCCCGAACCTGGCGCTCCAACCCGCGGATTTCCTCCGCTCCATGTGTCTCGAAAAGCGCCGCGGGGTCGCGCAGATCCAGCCGCTTCAGCGCGGCAGAGGCGGCCACGGCCGCCATGATGGACCCGTCAGTGTGCCGACGGGTCACTTCCGCCCGGAGGCCCGCCCGGCGGCCATGTTGGGTGGGGGCGGAACCACTTCCGCCCCGCTGTCGGCCATGCTTGTTCGGGGCTCCTCCGGGCGGCCGAGGGGCGGGGCCGGGATGGGATGGGCGGTGGTTTTGTTCTTGTTGTTGTTGTTGTTGTTTTTTAAAAGCGGGCGCGGCGGGTGGGGTAGATCGCTGGGGCTGGCGGTCTGCGCGCGAAGCGTCGCGGGCGTCTGAAGTCCCGCCGGGTGCAGGTGCCGGCTCGCGACTTCCGAGCTCTGCGCCCGCGGTCCGACTGCGCCGTCCGCTCGGGACGCCCGAGGGCCCCGCACAGCTCGACCACGTCGCTGGCGGCGGCGCCTGCTGGCACCGGGCGTGCAGTCTTCTGTGGCGTTGTTGTTATCGTTGTTTTCTGGGCCCATGACCGAATGCGGTGCCCGGGGTGGAGTTGGAGTCCGTTCGTGTTCATGGGCGAGAGCAACTTCGCAGTTGTTCAGGACCGGCTCTTCCCTAAGGCGCGCGTCCGGTCGTTTTGCTTTGGTTTTTCTTTTGATGTCCATCAGTTCTTTGGGGCTTTCGTTACTTCAAGCGCGTATTTTTATCACGAAGGATGCACTTTCACCCGCGTGGCGTGGAGCGTGGTGGGCCTAGAGGAAGGGGCGCAGTGCCTGAGAAACAGCGCCTGGAGGTGCGGGGCGGGGAGAGTGGGGCTTGTTTCTTCTACGGACTTCCAAGACCCTTCTTTTTAAAAAACCGTTTATGATGGAAGAGTTCATACTCAAACTAACATGGAGAGGATGGTGTAATGTGCCCACCCGCCAGGTTTAACACTAAACCATGGTTAGCCATCTCTGTATCCCTACCCTCTTCCTCCCCTACCCGCTGCCTCTGTTACTTTGAGGCAAATCCCAAACAGCAACGATTTCAATTTGTAAATCAAACCGTTCATTTATACCTCACACTAGCCCTGCATTTTACAGATGGGTAACCTGGAACCCCGACGGGCAAAAGGGTTTACTCAGTAATAGTATGATTGTCAAAGCCTGTACACAGAATTAACTAATTTGGTATACACATCAGCCTTGAGAAGTAGGTAGGGATATTTCTGTTCTGTGCATATTCCATGCAAAAACCCAGAGAAGCTTATTTGCCCACCTGAGTTGCATAGCTAATAAGGGATGGGACTCACCGAGATCTTTGAATTCCTGGCTTGTGCCTTTTCTGCTTTGTCACACAACTTTCCATGGACTCAAAACACTCCATGGTGCCAGGTCTGCAATTTGCTGTCACATCAGTTGCATTCTGTAGGGGACATTTTGTTGATGTTGGCGTGCCCAGCATCTGTGGAATGTCTTTTCTGTATTTGGGGAAATGATGTCTGTGTGGCAAGATCTTTTCCAGGAATCCCTTACAGCTATGGTGCAAGCCTGTGGGCCTGGGACTTTAAATGGCGAGCCAGTGATGTCAAGACACAGCAGGGGCATTGCATCCAGCTGGGGCTCCCAGCTGCCCGTGCTGGCCATGCTGATGGTGGCAACTATGGGTGACCACAGTGAGGCCTCTCATCAGAATTGATTGCCCAGTGGCATGCTTTGACTGGGTTCTGAATGTTTTTGCTTCCCTTTGTTCCCATCTGTCCCCTGAGCCTGGTTCTCCAGCTTTCCCAGCGACTGCATGAGCTGTCCAGTATCTTACTGATAAATTTCATTTCTTTGGAAATCAAAATCAGTTTTGGTTGCTTGCCCTAGAGTCCCTAACCAACACACCCTTCCAAGTTTCCAGCTCCGTAGGAGTTTGGCTGAGCAGGAGGAAGGCATGTCCAGGCGTCAGTTTTGGTGGGGGGCCTGGGGGTTAGTATGAGGGGGCTTGCACTATGCACACACCTGTCATGTCAGGTAGAGAAAAGGCCAGCTGGGGGCCACAGACCTCTCCGCTGAGGGGTGTGTTCTAAAAGGAGAGCGTCCCCTCTGCTTCCCCAGCCAAGTTCTTCTGGCTGCCCTGAAGATGTCACTGTTGCTCTTCTGCATGCAGAACTGAGCGCCTAACGGAGGCTGTTACCAAGCCTTCCTGCACTGGAAAGAGCGCTGGAAAGGCTCTGGGCGCTGGAGGTAATGTGTCTATGACTCTTTACTCTCTTTGTCTCCTTTTCCTTTCCCTTCTGCATCAAGGTCCGGCGTCCCCTTCCTCTTCTGTGGTTTCTTTGTTTGTTTGTTTTGGTTTGTTTTGTTTTTGCTGTCTGGCCCTCTCAGAACCAGGAGGGAGGCCAAGAGCTTCAGCAGCTGGACAAGGCAAGTGCTGGGGACAGAGGGTCAGAGATGAGAAACTAGTCTTTTTTGTTTTTCTCAAGGAGGCACATGAGCAAAGGGCACTTCCGAGTTTTATCGCCATCATTTTGTTTTGATTTAGGGAGGAGTGCGCCGCCTGCATGTGGGGGGCGGGAGGGTGTCTTCGTGTCATTTTCTTCTTTTACTTTAAATCTTTAGGGGTAGAAGATATCCAGTGTTTACATTCAAGAGATAATGTTTAGATCATCCTGGGCTTCTGAATTGAAACCTGGGCATTCTGCCAGTTACAATAGTTGTAATTTTGAGCCCCATCTAGGCACTTTGCATATGTTACCTTTAATCCTAACAATAATCCTACAGCATAGGTGGTCTTATACTTGTTTGATAGATAAAGCCAGGTTCGGCAGAACCAAGTAACCTGCCTGAGATTACACAGTTAGTCAGCAGTCAAGCCTGTCTACACATCCCGGTCAGCCTGACTCTAAAGTCCTTGATCTTTCTACTTTGTCACATTATTAGCTTCAAAGAAAATTTCAGAACATCAAGAGACAGATGGGCCAAACAATTCTGAGCAACATTCAGATGGTGCCCACGCTACTTCCTACCTTCTGCAATTGTCTCAGCATTTGGGACCTGAGCTAGAGTGTGATTTGGGGGCACGTGGCACCTGCCGGGGTGGTCAGGCCTGGTTGCCAAGTGTCTGTGTGCTGGAGGGCTCACTTTCAAAACTGGGAATTTGTCCTGACATGTTTGCTTTCTCTGGGCCCACTGGCATTCTGGTTTCATTCAGACTGTTGAGGGGACAGATTTGTCCTTACTTTTTAATAGAAATACAGAAGGCAAGGCAGCATAATGCCTAAAATAGAAGAGTTCTTAACTGGTCTTTGCAGAGACCACACGTTCTCCTTCCCTTATGTGATTTGTGGTCTAGCATCTGGGAAAGGGTCCTGGAGACCTTGGCTCCCAGGCTGAGTCAATAAATATTTGCATGATGAATGAATAGTGTCGTGCATACAGAGTGTCACAGAATCACAGAGTATCAGCTCAAAGGGTGCATTGGAAAAGGCGAAAGGATCTCCTACCATTAACTACCTCATGGTCAAAATACTGGAGGCAATAAGACAGTTCTCACCCATATCACAGCCTCCTCACGGACTTGTTTCAGTCCCTCTCCCTTGACGTACGGTGGCCGCAGGTTGGGCAGGTCCCTGTTCAGTTTGAAGAGCGAAGCTGAAGAAGACTCACCCCAGACCCCCCAGTGATGTTGGAGGGAGGGGCATCTCCTCACAGATTTGGGATGAGATGGGGGCTGGCCATAGCCAGAGAAGAGAGAACAAGTGGAAGAAGCAAGCTTACCTGGGAACATTAAAATAGGCTCACCTCTGGGTGCGCTAGAAGAGACAGAGAAGGAGAGAGAGAAAAAGAAAAGGAGAGGCAGCAACAACAGATTAAGAGGGAAGGGAGGAAAGATGGGGGAATTTGATGCTGCAAAGGGCAGACCCTGTCCGTAAGAGGAATGCCAGGGCTGGCCCGAAGCTTGGACTCCGCACCGCGGCCTGGGGGGATTCAGACGCTGGGTGTTTGCTCTGAGCCGAGATGCCAGTGGGATAAAGAGCCTAATGCAGTTGTCTTGACGTCTTATCTTTAGAGCCCTCTTCATCAGCTGTGTCCGTGGGGCTGACATTTGTGGTTGAAGGGGTGGCTATTTGACTTAACTGTTTGCAGATTCCTGAGACTGCCTTGGACAAATAGGCAGGCCTCACCCCTGATGAAAGGAGGCTGAATGTCTGGGCTGCACACATTCTCAATACCTTGACTGAAAAAAAAAGGTGGCAGAAAGGTGATGAAAAGTTCACGCTGTACCTGTGATGTCCTTAATTAGTGTGTAATTGAATACTGTGTTCACGAGCTCTGCGCTAGTTGCTGTGGAGGATACAGAAGACATCTGATTAACAGGCGGTGGCTCTGTAACAGGCTCAGACTTCTTTTCAAGTCCCATATGTTGTCTTTTCCCTTCCCTACCGTTCCAACCTAGCTGCTGAGCCTTTCCTGGCCATATTGAGAAAATCAAGGCAATCAGACATGAACGTCCTCATGTGAAATCCGCTGCATCTACCGGCCTGCTTGAATACATACTTAGACCTCCTATGCACTCTCTTGTTAGAGCAGAGTGTTCCTGCTCCCTTGACCTCTCCACTTGACCTCTGGATCTTACTTCCTGCCTTTTAGAGGCTTTACTTCCTTTTCTCTGCCGTATTATTTTCTCCCACTCAGCTGGATCATTCCCATCACAGGCATGCCCCGCTTTTCAAAAGTTTGCATTAGGCCCCTTTGCTTTTTAGTAAGACCTCCAACTGGTACCTGTTTTTGCTAACCAAAAGAAATCCGAAGAGGATTTTCACTTTTATGAAAAACAGGCAAAAAGCGCAAATAGCATCCAATGTCGGTTTTGCAGAAGCCAGGCCCCAATAGAGGCAGCGCCCCGGGGCAGCGAGAGGGGCGCCCAGCCCCTTTCCCTTCCTCCCCGAAGACACGTTCAGCATCCCAGCAATCAGCCGCTGCAGCTCTGAACTGAGTCTGTGAGCATCTGGGCTGTATCTCCATTGGTTTTGTGTGTCCGTTACCAAGATGTGTCCCAAAGTATCAGAAAAGACTAAAAGAGGTGATTTTTTGGGTGTGGGAGTGCTC